TATACATGAAGGAGAATGAATTAGCTCCAAACTTCATTAGAAGAAATAAATTATCTAGATCAGGGGTGTCAAATTCGCAATGTCACATGACGTGTCCCGACATATCGCAACTTTTCCCTCATTGCCGGCAATGGAGTGGGCATGGTTTCGCCATGACGCGTCCAGCCTGCAGGCTGGCAGTTTGACACACCTGATCTAGATCCATTCATTATGAATTTAGCCTAAGGTCTGACATAGTAATAAGCTGGGTTAACTCTCTTGATTTCTGTTGGGAGAAATATGGAGGTAGTCTGTTTGATTTCCCCATTCACAACTTTTGATACTGTTAATCTTGCTGGACCATCTTTATGAGAGGAAGCTGAAGATTCAGTGACGTAGCAGTTCCACTTATATTGCAGATTATTTCTGCTCAGCCTGGTGGCATGTGAGCTCTGTAAGATTTCACCCTTCTCCTTTTTAAAATCTACTGAGAGAAATTAGCTAAATGCCTTGAAAAAGATGACCTCAGTATCAGAATGATGCATAGTTTTATTTCTTTTTGTCACCCAAACCTCTGACTAAACTTTGAAATAAGCTGGATGAAAACCCATACTGTGAAATTGAATCTTGAACTACAAAGGCACTGTGGATAGTCTTAGAATCATCCTTTAGATCAGGGGTAGTTGATCTGGGAGTTGAAGTCCACAAGTCATAAAAGAGCCAAGGTTGCCTCCCCCTGCTTTAGATCTTCTTAGAGAAACTTTATAATCTTTGGCTGGTTTCTCACTCAAGATTTTCCTGAGTAGGAAGCCTGTTTATGATATACATGCTCTGGTAAACACTCCACACCACTGGATGGATTGCTGTTTTGTTATATATGAAATTGACATGCAAACAGCTTCCTGTATTATAATTGTCAATTAGAAGTATGACCTGATTAGACAAAAATGACATATTATTACTATTACTATTATTATTACTATTATTATTATTACTACATTTATAAACATAAGGCCAGCCCTGCTATATCAAATCAAGGCCCATCTTAGTCCAGCATTTTGTTTTTCATAAGGGCCAAATACTCACAAGCATGAAATAGAAACAAAACTCCTTACTCTTGTTTCCTTACAATAGGTAAATTATACTCTGTCTTTATTCTTTGCTGTTGGAGTGGTATATGAGAAGGGTTTCCCTTCATTTTTTTCCTTACAGTAATCAGAAAGTAGGTTAGCTTGTGAGAGACAGTTTGGTCTAGTGATGAGAGCAACCGGCTGGAAACCAGGAGACTGTGAGTTCTAGTCCTGCCTTAGGCATGAAAACCAGAGAGGGTCATTGGTCCCCCTCTCTCAGCCACGATGCCAGGCTCAGGTGACAAACTGGTCAGTCAATTCTTGTCACAACCAATGGATTAATACTCAATTGATTCCCCCCCCCTCAAAAAAGGGGACCCAATGCTTGTGCAAAAACATTGGGAAGAAAAAAAAAAGGTTAGGTTGAGAAAGTGTTTCTGGCCTGCTATTCAGTGAAATCTGTGGCTCAGTGGTAACTTCAACCTCGTCCTTCCAGTCCAACACTTCATGATATATTACATTCGCTCTCTTCTTAAGCAAAGTAATTTAGCTGCTTATTTGCAATTATGTCCCATTCAAAGCATTGATGCTTACCTTAAAAGCAGAGGTAGAAAACTTGTTCAACATTGTACCCTCTTTTTTGTCAATGAAATTTGGCAACATGCCACAGAAAACCAGTGGTGACACAATTTCCTACTGGAAATTTAGTGAGAAACAAAATAAAGGACAAATTGGTCAAAGCATACCTAAACTGATCAGCATCATCCAAAATCAATCTCCCTCAGAAAATCGTGGAACTGCACAAAACTGTCCATTTGCAGTTTGCAAGGCGTTAAAGCCTTGCTTTCCTACACTCTTTGGACATCAAACACAGCATTTAAAGGATGCTCCCAACCGCAAAATAAAATAAAATAAAAATAATGAAACCCTTCAAAATACCCGATGAAGCATATCTCCCTATAACAGTCTATTTATGCAATAATTCCTCAAAGAGACTTCTTGTATCATTGTGTGTGAAGTGATTAATGAAAGAAATGATGACAACAAAGCATTTCTGCTGGAACTGAAATGGAGCATTGGTGCCACCTACATGTCAGATAAATGAATATTTCATCAATCTATTTTTAGGGCCAGATTTCCAAAGAGAAGTTGCCAAGATTACTGAGCTTGTTCCTGCAAAGATAGAGTTAGCAAATAGTTGCTGATTGTCAGCTCTTTTGAAAAACTTTATTTTCTTTGATGCCTACACAGGAACTGAGCTACTTTAGGCAGGTTTCAGGGATACTTTTAGGGAAGTGCATATCTCTTTTTTTTTTTTCCGGAAATAACTGCTATGGAATGGCTAATTTACAAAAGTGTTGCTATGGAAGGCAAAACCAATCAGAAAATACCCATTTACCATTTATTCCCATTGTCATCTAAGCTTCTCCAAATGTTCCCTGTCACCCAATATATCTTTGTTCTTTTTTCCTCTTAGTAAATTGACCAACCTTTTAATCAAGTATTGGGGTACAGACACCGTTTTTTTAAAAAAGAAAATGTATGGGGTCCTACACAGCTTCAACAGGTAATTTTAGAGATGAAAAGCTGCTCAAATGATGAATTCTTTACATTACTTTGCAGCATGACTATTTAATCTTATTCAGTTACTCTGAATAAAATTAAAGTGAAACGGAAGAATGTTCCTGGTGCATGCTTAGTGCATGAGCTCATATTGTTTTTGTAAAAAAGTTGGGCCCTTCACTGCATTTGAAGAAGCTGTGCTTAAGAGTAACAGAAAGATCCTTGGAATTGTGGATATTTTTCCTCCTCCTCCTCCTCTTCCTCCCTGTTTCTTCTTGCTTGATTATTTGATGTTTTATGTATTCTCCTTTAACCATTGAAACATAATTTTTGGAGCCACATTTTATAAATAAGAGGTGTGTTGCATAGGACAAGTATAGCTATTGTCTCCCTCTGCAACCTTTTGCATGAGCCCAAGGACTGCTTGAAACTTGACACATGGAAGTGTGTTCATAATAACTGCAAGCTAAGGATGGGAGATGGGGATATACACCTGGATATGCAGGAAGCAATAGCTGTGGTGAAAATAAATTACAAGTATTCCCTCATCTGAATGCCCTAGCTCAGCTCAGAATCCAAGAACAATCCCAGGTTGGAAAATGGAGCTGGAGAACCTCCTGATTGTATTTTTTTTTTGGGGGGGGGGGAGCTTCTGCCAGTCAGTTTAGATAGAGAAATCAATTATCTGATTTCAGAGGAAGGCAGCTTCCTATGTCTCAGACTTCCAAACACCGCTTTTTATAAAAGTGGCCTTGGCTGGAGGTACCCATTTTCATTTGCATTAGAAAGCATACCCGGTCATGTCAGCATGGGTATATAATGTATCATAAATCAGCACCATAATGCATGGTTGTAGAACCTAGTTCCAGACTTTGTGGACATGGAGTGCTATTTTATTCCTAAGAATATTACAGCACAATGCAAGACTGATATTATCTAATTCTTATTACGTTACGAGTTATATGAGGTTTTCACACTAGACTAGTTAACCAGGTGAACTGGTTATGAACCAGGGTTTCATTCTGTCTTGTGAGAATTCGAAGATGAGATGTTCCCTTTGATTTTGTTTGTGCATATTTTCAGGCGGGTAAAGTAGTTGTAATACAGCTCTCACAGAGATCAAGCTTTGGTTCTGCAAAGCAGGATTTGTTGTTACATCCATCCAAGTTGGCTCCTATCCCATAATAACCTTCAGGTGAAAGCACCAACCACCTCTTGATACATAGAGGATTCACTTGCTAAGTCACTCTCACCAATGTTGAGCAATCTCCATCCACTGATTTTTGTTAATTGAGGAGAATAAAGATAAGACTAGATTAAAGGTTCTTAATTCAAATCACCCTGCTACATTTGCCTGGCCAGCTTTCCCTGTCATTATTTTTAATTCATTTTGGTAGATCATCCTCATTGTGAGATGTTCAGAGCAAAACAAAACGCACCCACTCATGCACACACACACTCTCAAACAAATCATTTGCATTGTGCTTTCAAAGTTGTGCCAGATACATCAAAAGAATAAAGTGCTATCAAACTGCAAAGTGTTTTTATAGAGCCAAACATCCTTGACATGAAACCAAATATTATAGGTAAAATAACACTTCAGAGGTGTTTTGTTTTGTTTTTTTTTGCACTGGACTTAACAGTCATCTCATGATCTGGTTTTTAAGTTAACACCTCTGACCTTTACCTAAATATGTGATTACCGCATTTTAGAATGCAGCATTTTGATCATGTAGTAGCCAACGGTGATATAAATTTTTCCAAGTTGCACACTACTCGTCACTCATCTCATGTGAACACTAGTTCTTAAGCATCAAGGAAAGCTTACTAGCTTTTGCTAATACTTCAACTTTTGGGATTTTACCTGAGCTATAAATTTGTTCACACTGACTGACTATCGTTCCCTGAAATAGACTTTTCATGGCAGAGAGAAAAACATTACTTGTGAGAAATCCTCTTCACTTAATGGTTGCTGCTAAATAATATGCCAAGGCTAGTAGTCATATTGACCCCATAGTGCCTGTATATCATAGAATCTAAGGCACTTAAGATCAGTACAACAGAAATAAAAGGGCTCCTGGACTGATGTCTAGCAATTTTCAATCTTTAGAATTCTAGACAAGATAGATTATATCTTTGTATATTCCGATGCAATTTAATGAAAGTAGAAATTAATCACAGCATAAAGAGGATCAAAAAATGACATTTTGGCTTCAATCTTTAGCAGTAGCTTCCAAAAATGAAAGTCCTACTTCAGAGACATATGCCTTTCGTTATATGTATACTTTGGTTTTAACTTTGCCTACATTCTTTTTCTGATTGGAGATCCCTAATCGGGCTCTCAAATCTTGGATTTTCAATCACAGACACAAAGATCCATATACAGGAGAAGGTTTCACGTTTTCTTTATTATTGTTTTAAAAGATTTGTTTCATTTCAAAATATAGATCTAATTTCTACATATAATTTAAAACTGTTCTAGAAATAGGCTCTTTCAGACAAGTTCTCTCATTGCTTTGTGACTTGGAACACAGAGACAAAAAGAACAGGGATACAGAGATGTCCTGCCTGCATCATCTCTGGGGGAAAGACCTAAAGAAAGGTTTTGTCCTTTTTCTTCAGAAGTACATTTCTGTGTTGTATATCTTATGACACGTAAGTCGTATTCATACATGCTGAATCTGGTTATTGAATTAACTATTTTTCAGGATATTGAACACTACCCTGAACTAATTGGCTGGATTTGCAGAACACTCAAGTCACAGAGACCAAAAGCCCAAGGTTAATGCTAACCAAGCTATATACTATGCCATCAAATCTTTAATTCATCTGCTTAAGCATGTTGTGCAATGCACACAGAGACTGAGATACTGATGTTTAATCTATGTTGAGCTAGGCAGCACAACTTGCTTACTGTTTGCACACTAGAAGGGCAGATAGGCTACCCCTTCTGAAACCTCTGTGGGTTTGGAAAAGAAAAGAAAGGAGGAAAAGCCCTTGAGATTCTGCCTGATTGTTTGCATCAGCCAGCGCACCCCTTCATTTTATTTTATTTTCTCTTCCATTTCTACCCAGTCATTTTGCTGATAACAGTGGACCTTTTGGCCCTTAACCAAACAACCAATCTTTGTCTGGTTGCAAACAAACATTGGAACCTGATCTCTAGCTCCAGTCTAAGTTAAAGAAAATAAATAAATATTAAAATACATAAAAGACAGTTAATGTTGCCTCACGTTGAGAATGACCTGAAGAGGTTAAACAAATTGTCAGTTGGCAACAGGGACTAATAAGTAACTAGTAACCTTTTAGGAGAACCTAGCATGCCACAAGAATGGTCCCTTGGAAATTAAGCCATTGGGCTGTAACATTTGTTTTGCTCCTCCCTTGTAATTTTCAGACTTTCAAGATTCTTTACTTCATCCTACTAATAAAGATTTTTTTCCCAAAAACTGAAGCTGTTGTTTTCAAAGTTTGCTTATCTCGCAGGGCTCGACATTAATCTTGAAAGCTCACTAAAACAATTCCCCAGTTCTATTGACACCTAGCATAATTAAGGTGGATTTACTTTGTCTCTACCTCAAGTTTCCCCATTTCACCCCCTCTTCTGGTCTGAGAAGCATCCATCACACGATGCTTCTGCGGGACAACAGTTACATAAGGCAATGCAGCTAAATTGCGTATCTTCTGTTATTCTTCATCAATATCAGAAATCAGCCAGAAGATTGAAGCTGACTTCCATCATGTTTGGGTTAATAAGCAGGTCATATAAAATAACTTAAGCCAAATGTTTGTAACTGCAGATGTAGTCTTCTCTCATCAAGGCTCTTGCAACTGGACACTAAGCTTTAGAAACAGCCCCTACTACTATGAGTTTCACACCTGGCAGTAAGTTTTCTCTGTAGCTCAGACAAGAATTCTGGGATCCAATCCCTCTTTAATGAGGACATAAACATATGTACACTATACAGAGTTAGTGAGCACAACAACAAATACATTAAAAAAGATCTACTCTTATATACATTATTTATAAAAAAGCAAATTGACCAGCCACCACCCCAATACAAAAATACATGTTTCTTATTATGTGCATTATAATTATTAATCTATAGAAATAATTGATTGACATAAAAATTAGTTTAAACAACAACCCAACTATAAAATTCATAGGATGTAATATATAAATGAGGTTTTTTTTAAATGATTTTTGTAAGGTGGGACAGAAGGTTGAAGATGATAAATATAGCGGGGAAAAAGTAAAATATGACTGAGATTGAGCTATATGACTTCAGAACTCCACATACAGTCTGGATGAATATCGGGATTATTTTTTGCTCTTCTCTTCAGACCACATTCTTGGACAGTCACCTGGAAATCTATTTGTTTAGGATCACAGATGTAATTCACCTGCTTGCTTTTGTTTTTCTTTTTGTTTGTTTCATGGAAATAATGCAGAAGAGGTTTAGTATTTAGTGCAGATCTTGCTGCACCAGCTTCAGTGTGGAAATAAATACTCCACTATTCAAATGTCATTAAGAACAATTGGATTTTGGGAATTTGCTAATGCAAGGGCAGGAGCAGAGAAGAATTGTTGTCCATGTCTTCAGCTGGACATAGACTAGGATTTCAGAGTATAAATAGCTTGTTCCTGATGCTAATACCAACACTCATTTATTCTGAAGATTTGACTTGCTTAGTTATGTCCCTCAAATTCAGTTTGCAATGTGGAACAGTTTGCATTTTGGAACATTTTTGTGTATGAAACTGTCTTTGAGAGTATGAAAAAAAAAAAAGAATAATAAAGTCACTAGCTTTTCAAGGTGCAAATTATTGGAAGCTGCAAGAGTCACAAGCTACGGCAGAGGGCAGTAAAGTTTCAAGTAGTGCCTTTTATGTGCTGTGGCGCTAGAACTGATAAGCCACTTCAGTGTGTCACAATAACTGAGTGAATGCTACATTCCAACACAGTTGTGTGACACATAGTTATCCCCCACTCTGCAATCCTGTCCCACTTATTCCAGGGATGGCAGAAACATTATTGCTGAAAGTGCGCAGAAAGTGGATGTTCATAGAAAGTGAGGGATTTTGGTGCTGTTCCCCATATAGGGCCTACATGAAGTGCTGCTGTGTGTGGATAATAGCCGAAGAAAGCTACAGCCCTGTCAGTGCCAAAGTGCTCTAACACAAGAGGTCCAGTGTTTCCCATCTCAAACAGGCATTCCTTCAGGCACCTTGTTTCAGTCTGAGATTCCATTCCCAGAAACACAGCTATTTGGTTAAGTTTAGCAGCCTATCTGAACATCCGACATGGAATGGAAAGCTAAAGCCAACTGTTCTGAGATACCTATTCAATCAATGGGGTACCTGTATAAACACAATCCTCCATGAATTTGTACACTATAGGAGAGCCCTTATATTTTGAAAATGTGGTGCAGGAATGCTGAGTTTCTTGATCCAATATAGATCAATATTCGGAAGAAAAGTGCTGCTACTTACTACGTTCTGAAATATTCTGCATGGTGCAATTGGATTTGTACAACACAAAAAGCATGTTTTTGTAATCCAAGGCAGAAAGTGCATCTTTAAAATCTTGAACACAGTTCAATTTAAAGTGCTAGTATTTATAGGGCAACAGAGAAGAAATGTACTCTGTTTCGTTTGCTTAGTATATTGTTAATGAGTACTTCATTGCTTCCTATAAAACCAGAGAAGCTGCTTTGTTTGATGAATGTTGAAAGATGAAAAATGTTCTTCAGGATTATGACAGAAAAGTAGGACAATTTTGCAAATATCATTATCAGCTTCTTGTTGCATAATAAGGATTATATATTAGGGCTAAGTACTAAATATAATATACACTCAGACTAGAGATGACTGTTTATACCTGGGAACCTTTTGAAAGCTTCAGAATATTTTCACACATTACTGATGCAGCACTACAACTAGCCTTCCATTTTCTCAGAAAGAACCTATTGCATTTTTGTTCCCCTGTTGCAAGGACTAGGCTCTAGGTACAATGTAAAACAAGTATTAAAAACAGAGAGGAAAAATTGAATTTTCCAGTCTTGGAATGTTATATCAGTTTTGATTGCTATGTTTTTCATTAAAGTTCTCCACAGTTTGTACATTCTAAAATCATCTTAGCTCCATAAAATCCTGTTTGCCATATATCAGGGGTGTCAAACTGCCAGCCTGCGGGCTGGATGTGTCATGGCGAAACCGCACTCACCCCATTGCCGGCAATGGAAAAAAAGTCATGACACGTCACAACACGTCACATGTCGATGCGAGTTTGACATCCCTGCTATATATCATCCATTGTTCAGATGAAATATATTTTCCTATTCAAGGTCTTAAAATTTCATGTTTTAAATGATGGATGGATCCTGAAAGCTAGCCTTCCCATATATGATGTCATCTAAAAGTTCTAGGATTGCAACTCCCAGAATTCCCCAGCCAGCGTGATCCATTTATGTAGCATCAAGTGATGAATATTTTTTTAACATGTGAGTCCAATTAACATAGATCTTAAAACTGTGATTATTGCTACTAAGTGGAAGAGACACTTTAAAAAGCCTTCACTTTTCATTCTGTAGCCTCAGTGAAATATTCATATAATATAAAATTTGGCCCAAGTCAACCATTCGGCAGTGAGCATCAAGTGAGAGCCCTACAGTTGCTCCATTTTCTTCTGGTCCTGCTGACTTTTGAGTTCCCTCAGTGTGGGCCAGCTGGACTGGTCATCTAGAACTGAAGATACACTGTATATCATAGTAGCCTCCCCTCCCTTTCCCTTGAAATGGGCCATTTTTCCAGTTTATGTGCTCATTAGACTACTGTTAGCCTGGCCGATCCCAGACTTTGAGAGAAAATCAAATGCCCAGAGAGCTAGAGATTGGGTTCTGGTCTAGTCCAGCCTGCAGCACCTCTGGCTCAGCGAGAGTGTGTGAGGATTTCATACTGGAATAGCACCCGTGGCTCAGAAGGTAACCAGGGATGAAAGAATGATACAGTACTAACACAGGGCAGGGCAGGAAATGGATCCAAGCCAGTTGAGTTTCCCAATGCTTGGTTGCGCATCACAGGACTCCAGATTTTGCCTAGTGGCTGCCTCCACTCTTTATGCCACCTAATACCCAGTCGATGATGATGAAGCTGAGGCTCATGATCATGAAGAGCACCCCGAGGCATGCAAAGAGGGCTGCCTGCATGGAGAAGAGACAGGAGAGAAAGAGAGTGTCACTTGCAGAAAGGAACCCCTCCCCCAAATGTGGAAGTAAAAGCATCTCCCCTCCAAAAATGAATCATGCAACCTTTATGGCTGAGTAGCACTGCAACTAGGGAGGAAAGACTCATGCCTTCCTTGAAAATCGTGGTTCTGTTCCAGACCAGTCTTTCTCTTTGAACAAAGATATTGCACATCCCCATATAGCACAAATGATGATGATATTGATATTTTAATAATAATTATAATGATAATTATAAATCATGCATTCAGTTTGAAATCCCAAAACTATGATAGCTTCCATAGATAATATGCAGGACATGCAAGGCGCATTCGCCTTACCCCTGCTAAGAAATTACTGCCTAGGTTTCACTATCAGGTGGACTGTCTAAAGCGGAAGGGCCTTTTTCACATGCAGCAATCCATCCTTTGGGACTCTTCATGAATAACTAAAGTAGCTAAACTAAACTGTTAGAGATTACATACCAGGATCTTTGGAAGGGATTTCATAGGTTCTTTGTCCTTGGGTATGATCCGAATGTAGAATATTGCTGGAAAGATGAATATCAGGCAAGGAGCTGAGGTGGCACCTGGGAGAGTCCAACAGAGGACAGATTTAGGATCCTCAGAAAATGAAAATACCCTGACATCCCTTTGCTTATCTTCACTAATATGTTTTGGGGAAAACATGACAAGCTCTGACAACGGGGCCTCCGGGCCTGCCCCTCATCCTTGGCAGAGGCCAAACTAACTATTGATTTTCCTCCTAGGATAGTGTTTGAGTTTAAAATCAGGCAACTGATGAGTGGCTAGGAGCAAAAAATCACAAAGAAGATCCCTTTAGAATTACATGGCAAACAAATAGGTTTAATAAGATGGCCTTGATCCTGGAAAAACAGAACACTGAGGAATCCCATGGATGTTCTCAAAGGAATATGGAATAATTACTGTCCTGATGCAATTTCTATTGTTAGGAGCTTGTTTATTTATGAAAGAACTTTGACTCTCCTTATATTTAGAAATACTTTTCAGCAACATTTTTCAAAATATAAATGATTTTATCTATATCCGTAAACAATATACAGAGTGGATATTTTGTCAAAATGCAGAATCCATTTTTGTTGTTGTTAATTGTTGTTAATTGTGAAGTCATGTCCGACCCATCGCGACCCCATGGACAACGTTCCTCCAGGTCTTCCTGTCCTCTACCATCTTCTGGAATCCATTTAAGTTCACACCTACTGCTTCAGTGACTCCATCCAGCCATCTCATTCTCTGTCGTCCCCTTCTTCTATTGCCCTCAATCTTTCCCAGCATTAGGCCTTCTCCAGTGAGTCCTTCCTTCTCATTAGGTGGCCAAAGTATTTGAGTTTCAACTTCAGGATCTGGCCTTCTAAAGAGCAATCGGGGTTGATCTCTTCTAGGACTGACCGGTTTGAACGCCTTGCAGTCCAAGGGACTCGCAGGAGTCTTCTCCAGCACCATAGTTCAAAGGCCTCAATTCTTTGGCGCTCAGCCTTTCTTATGGTCCAACTTTCACAGCCATACATTGCAACTGGGAAAACCATGGCCTGGACTATACACACTTTTGTTGGCAGGGTAATGTCTCTGCTTTTTAGTATGCTGTCTAGATTTGCCATAGCTTTCTTCCCCAGGAGCAAGTGTCTTTTAATTTCTTGGCTGCAGTCCCCATCTGAGGTGATCTTGGAGCCCAGAAAAATAAAATCTGTCACTACCTCCATTTCTTCCCCATCTATTTGCCAGGATCCATTTTACACAGTGGTAATAGTTTGACACCAGTAACTTTCTTATATATCCTTCCTTCCTTCCTTCCTTCCTTCCTTCCTTCCTTCCTTCCTTCCTTCCTTCCTTCCTTCCTTCCTTCCTTTTCTTTCTTCCTTTTTTTCTGTTACTCTGTTTCTTACTCTCTTCTTTTGCTCTTTGCATTTTGTAATTCTTTTCTATTATTTTTTTTGACAATAGTTTGTATTATCCTTTAGTACTGTTAAAATCCTTAAGAAAAAGTATCTGTTTTTTAAAAAGAAGATTCCTGGAATGCAAGACTTACCAATTAAGCCAAAGATTCCCAAGATGGAGGGAGCAAAAATAACAAGCAAATTAATAGATGACAGTAGCACAAAAGCAATGATAATGTGCCGAATCCAGCTGAAATCCTTGTCTGGAAAAAGCATCTGCTGGATTGCGCGGCGCACCTGAAGAAAGAAAAGGCAATCAGATTCACCTTTTAGAAACATTGCAGAGTTCTTCACTGTACATATTTTAGGTCTGTCTTGATTCCTGTACCATTTCATCACAGCTACTTGAATTTATCTTTTTGCCCAATTGACTAGACTTCTGATCTAATGGCTCAATTTTTGACTCCAGTTCCCATTTCTAATTTGGTGGACTATGACTACAACTCCTCCTTAATTGTCTACCAGTGCTTAGAACTTACATGCTATTATCCCCTGCTTGTATCTATCACAGTGGTGCTATAGTTTTGAACACCAGTGGTACCTTGGTACTCAACTGCTTTTAAACTCATTGAATTTGGTACTCAACACATTTTGATGTGAAAATTTATTTATTTATTTATTTCTAAAATTTATATGCCGCCCAATCCCGAGGGACTCAGGGCGGCGTACAAAATTAAAACAATAAATATAACAATAAAATAGTAAAATAAGTACATTCATACAGCATGCCCAATCGTATCCCGCCCCCCGCCGGGGACATCAGCCCCAGGCCTGCCGGAACAGGAGAGTTTTAATGGCTTTCTTAAAGGCCGGCAAGGTGGGAGTAGTTCGAATCTCGGGGGGAAGTTGATTCCACCAGGTCGGAGCCACCACAGAAAAGGCCCTTCCCCGAGGGCCCGCCAGCCGACATTGTCTGGCCGACGGGACCCGAAGGAGGCCCAATCTATGGGACCTCACCGGTCTCTGGGAACTATGCGGCAGTATGCGGTCCTGTAAGTAACCTGGTCCTATGCCATGAAGGGCTTTAAAGGTGATAACCAACACCTTGAATTGCGTCCGGAGACCCACAGGAAGCCAGTGCAGCTCGCGGAGGATAGGTGACACGTGGGTGTACCTTGGTGCACCCACAATCGCTCTTGCGGCTGCATTCTGAACCAACTGCAGCCTCCGAACGCTCTTCAAGGGTAGCCCCATGTAGAGTGCATAACAATAATCCAGTCTTGAGGTGACAAGGGCGTGAGTGACCGTGAGTAAAGCCTCCCGGTCCAAATAAGCCTGCAACTGGTGCACCAGGCGAACTTGGGCAAAGGTCCCCCTGGCCACAGCCGATAGATATTGTTCCAAATTTAGCTGTGAGTCCAGGAGGACACCCAAGTTGCGTGCCTGCACTGAGGGAGGTAAATTTACCCCCCCCCCCAGGACTAATGATGGACCATCAGGTTGACCCTTGGGAGGCAAGGCCCAGAGCCACTCGGTCTTGTCAGGGTTGAGTCTAAGCCTATTCACCCCCATCCAGACCCTCACATCTTCCAGGCACCGGCACATCACGTCGATTGCTTCACTGAAAGGACAGGGGGTGGAGATATACAATTGGGTATCATCCGCATACTGATGATACCTCACCCCGTGTCGCCGAATGATCTCACCCAGCGGTTTCATGTAGATGTTAAAAAGAAGGGGGGACAGGACCGAGCCCTGAGGCACCCCATAATCGAGGTGCCTAGGGATCGATCTCTGTCCGCCCGCCAACACCGACTGCGACTTGTCAGAGAGGTAGGAGGAGAATCACCGCAATACGGTGCCGCCCACCCCCACCTCTCCGAGACGACACAGAAGGATACCATGGTCGATGGTATCGAAAGCCGCTGAGAGGTCAAGAAGCACCAAGATAGAGGAATGACCCCTATCCCGGGCTCGCCAGAGGTCATCGGTCAGTGCGACCAAAGCAGTCTCAGTGCTGTAGCCAGGCCTGAAACCAGATTGAAAAGGGTCCAGATAATTGGTTTCATCCAAGGATCACAAGAGTTGGGACGCCACCACCTTCTCTACAACCTTCCCCATAAAGGGGAGGTTGGAGACAGGATGAAAGTTCTTCAAAACAGCTGGGTCCAGGGAAGGCTTCTTGAGGAGGGGCCTCACCACCGCTTCCTTCAAAGGTTGTGGGAAAGATCCCTCCATCAAGGAGGCATTGATTATCGCCTGGAGCCAGCCTCGTGTCACCTCCCTACTGGCAGAAACCAGACAAGAATGTCACCTCCCTACTGGCAGAAACCAGCCAGGAGGGGCACGGATCCAATAAGCAGGTGGCGGCATTCATTGCCCTCACAGCCTTGTCGAAATTTTGTCCCAGTACTCATTGTTTGTTTGGTACTCAACACACAAGCTAGAACTTGTTGATGTTGGCTGCCTTGTGATTCACTACATTATTTCTTATGGGAACAAATTACTTGGTACTCATTGTTTTTGGTACTCATCATGCCTCCTGAAACCAATTAACAATTAACCAAGGCACCACTGAAAACAACGACCTTACCAGTTTATAGCCTAGGCTGTCTTGATATTTATTCCTTTTTCAATTGCAAAAAATAGATATCAAGAATTCATGCAAGATAGGAATTAGATTTTAGACTGAGATTCCACTTTAAAAAACACACAGACACACACAACACAAAATTAGTCTCCTTCTGTCAGTTTTCTGACAGCAAAACTCACCGGGAAGAGAACAATGGGCACCGTTAGTGTCACAGCAATCAACACAGCTACTCGCACACACAAGATCAGCACATCAAATAAGTCTACTCTGCTGTAGGTGTGAAGCAGCTCTGATTCTACCTGCCCTGTAGGAGACAACCAAGAACAGAATAGCAGCATTGATCAGGCTAAGTATAGAACAAGGAGTTTCTTTGTACAGCACTCCCAAACTGTTTTGTTGTTGTTGTTTTGTTTTGTTTAGAAATGAAGACTGTAGAGGTGTTTGTTGTTTCTGGAGGCTGCAATCATATGGCTGGTGGCATGGACAACTTTGTAAAATGCTAATTACAGTTTTCTCAAATGAACATGTAAGTGATTATATTGCACAACAGGGAAAACTTGATATACTATTATGTCTTTGTGCAGGATACAATGCAAGGATTCAGCTTTCTTTTTCGGAGGTTCTCTAATGAAATGCATGAAACAGGCCAGTCCAAAGCACAGCTGAGAACGCAAGCTTTGCAAAATGTGAAAGGATCACTACTGTTGGTGCTTTACAGTATAGTTCATTAGTGAGCTGAGCATCTAAACAACATGTAACTGCCTGCAACTGCATTCCAATGGTTAGTCCTCGAGGGATAAGGCTACAGCTTTAAAAAGACAGTACTTTCTGCCCTCAGTATCTGCCTTTGCTCCATTTAATTAGGAAGCACAAAACATGGGATATATTACAAACTTTCTGTTGGCTTGAAGGCTACCCAAATCTTTGTACAGTATGTTGGTAGGCATATTCCAAAATTTGCAAGAGATGGATTTCAGAGGCTTAGTATATACCTCACAACCCCCACCCACCTGCAAAACACTAAAAAGAACCAAATTCTAGGCGTTACAAAAGGGATATTGATGGGCTGGATGTGGTCCTCAGAACATACATGTACTTTTAGGGCAATGGAAAGGAACTTACCATAGAATGTGAGATAACCAAATAGGGCAGCCAGGAAGTACATAATATACATGACTGAGATGGAAATGTTGGAGATACACTGCATCTTTTTCTTGGTTGGGCTAAAAGACATACAAAATCTCAATGAGAAGGATTTAACTTATGTTAATCATGCAGTTATTTTGATTTATTAAAAGAGTGCATTATTATCATTTGAATTTATTTCAACTTTGTATTTTTTTTAAAAAAAACCCTGAACATTCATCCTGTGAGATCATATTACATGACAAGTCACAGGAGTTTGGATGGCATGTATATCATTTCTCTATCATGGGGTGAGAGGGCACTATTTGATGAAAATCCCGAGAAACACTAAGTGGTTTTTAAATTAAAATGAACCTCTGTCGCACTACCCATGCTATGGAATTTTAGTGGAAAACCATAGCACTGATTCTCAACAGTGCAATTCTAACAGATCACAAAATACAAGTTTCCCTTTTGACTCTTATGCATTTTTGAACAGGTATTTGTCCTATTGCCTACTGAGAATCAACATTTCTGGAATAACAGAAAAGACACATTTGCTGAACAGAACCCACCAGTTTGGCCTTTTGTACTTAGAGCTGCATGTCTTTCCTTATGACATAGAAGGGAGCTGTCCAGAATTTGCAGTAGGCGATGTGCAGAAAATGTGTGTGTGCATGGGAAAGAAAAAGAACTGATGTCTTAAAACATCATCTTTATATTCATCCTCTAAATTCATTAATCTGATGCCCATTCTGTTTGTTCACTTGCAACACTACTTCAGTGATGTCAACAGTGAGGTATTATTAACATATGTACATACTCACTTTTTCAACTCAGTGTAGATAGGAAGGACTTCAGGATGACACACAAAAGCAAATGCCATGATAGGGATGGTGTAGGCTGTCTGCAAAGTTAAAAGAGAGAAGAGATGTTGGGGAAATGTCAGAGAAGCTTCTGCATGCAAGAGTGATGCTTTTAAAGGTCTCAACAATACTCAGGCAAAGAGATTGCACACCCCAAAATAGTGTTAATAAAAATTAGCAGGGAATAGAAGAAGTGAAAATAATTTTTTACAGAAGTGTGACTCCCAGAAACTCAGGTCCCTGAGCCCCAATCTAGGTGTGTTATTGTGGCCATTCTTCCATTCACTTCATCAGACAGCAGTAACCACTAAACCAGGGGGCCCCAACACCTGGGTTGTGGCCCACTACTGGCTTGTGGCTTGTTCAGAACTGGGCCATGAAAGTGGCGGGCAAGCACCCACCCACCTGTAGCTCCACTTCTGCATACATCAGGCAGGTGAGTTCATGCACCACTTCTGTGGAACCATCCCCTCCCCCCCCCGCAAAGCCAGAAAGGTTGGAGACCACTGCACTAAAGGATGGTTATGCCACTTCAGTCCTGAACTTTTTTCAAGTTTCCCTTTATACCTTTACATATTTTATATTTCACCTCTTTCATTCCTCACTCTTACCTTGTTTTTTGGCTGTATGGTTTTTATGCTCAAAACTGTTTCTCTACTTTTGTAAGCTTCCTGTTTGCCTTCCTAGTCTTTCTACCAATTAATTTCTTTCTCATTTCACCACGCCTGCTCCATAGTTTAGATCAATATAACCTCTGCCCCAGTTAGCCTGGTAATCTGGAGAATCTCAGACTGGAGAAGATTGGTTTAAACTATTTGTATCATATTGGCTCTAGAACAACGATTAACATTTAATAATAAAAGGTCAATAATACAGTAAACAACTGATATAATTAATTGGGTTAGATAACTATTCTCTAATTTGGACACTTCCTGATATTTAGGTCAATACTCCCACCTACAGCCAGCTGAATGAAAATTCACACATCTAGATGGCACCTAGATTGATAAATGATATATTAATTACTGCTGGCTTCATCATGGATCTGACCTGAGAGTTGAGCGTGAACAAACTTGAAGAGCAAATGTCTTCCTCTGTAGCCTGCACAGTAGTGTGTTCGTTTTGATAGCTGCTTGTACCAGCCAAGGTATAATTCAGGTTGCCTGTGTGGTTGATCCGCTCGGGAAGCGGACAAGGAATCTGGAACTTTTTGTAAATGACCTGAGGAGGAAATAAAACCTCATAAGTTCTCATCTGCTTGATGATACACAGTCACCAATACAAGGATCTTTATTTGCCTGCTTCACGTATTTTAATCATATTGTCATCGGATGAACTCAACATTAGGTAAGAAATCAGCTATATTGGATAGCTACGTGTTATCTGAGGAAGGAATGGCTAATGTCTGTGTCGGAGTCAGTGATTGATGACCTTAAGCATCAGTGTACTTCATGGCATGGGGTCAGGTTATTTGCAGAACTGCCTGTCTTCAAAGATTTCTGTTTCTCCAATGACATCTGGCACAGCAGCAGCATGCTTTGGGTTCCTACTATGAAACAGTTTCTTCTGTTGGGACCCAGAAAGTTCGCCTTCTCTGTCACAGCACCTGCCTTGTGAAACAATTTTCTCTCCAAGGTTGGACCTGACTTGTTGGTATAGAGCAGAGGTGGCAAAACTTTTAGAGACCGAGTGCCCAAACTGCAGCCCCAAACCCACTTATGCATCGTCGGGTGCCGGATAGGCGTGGCCACCGAGTGGGCGTGGCTACCAAGCTGTCGGCTCATGCTCGCTCATTCGCTCGCTGTCCGCTCCAACTCGTGCTCGCTCTCAAGCTGTCTGCAGCAAATGCTGCTTCTGCAGAAAGTTGCTCCTTTTATAGCCTCTTACTTATTGCAAGACTGTGCATGCGCGGAAAGGAGGAGGGAGCAGTTCGGCCCAGCAATGGCTCACATGCCACCAGAGAGGGCTCCACGTGCTGCCTGTGGCACGCGTGCCATAGGTTCGCCACCACGGGCATAGAGCCTTAGAAATCTGGTTCTTCCTCTGAATATTAGCCTAAAACGGGTAGGCAACCTTGGCTCTTTTATGACTTGTGGACTTCAACTCCCAGAATTCCTGAGCCAGCATGGCTGGCTCAGGAATTTGGGAAGTTGAAGTCCACAAATCATAAAAGAGCCAAGGTTGCATACCCCTGGCCTAGAACAAAGGAAGAACCCATGATTTGAATTATCATAATGTATGTATCTTTTAATACAAAAATAGCAACACAAATATACAGCCTAAGCTTGTAAGTTCTGGTAATTCTTATTATTTTTTATAAAAAAATTATACTGTGCTTATTCTTATAAAATAAACTTAAAATAGGTTATAGACAAGCCAATAAAACACAATAAAACTACTCAAATTGCACTTTGAAAAACAGTTGCTGAATTCATTCACTGTTATAAAAAACAGGATAAAATAATACAAATTAAAATCAGAAAGATAGAACATTAACTCACACCAAACCCCATTGAGTAGCTTGCCTAAAGCATCAGCCAATAAGTAAATTAAATGTCTCTAGGTGGGAGGTATCACAGTGGAAGTTCATACCCTGCATCAGCATGAAGCTTGTAAAACTTGCTAAGCTTAGGCAACATGAGATGTCACCAATGTATATCATAAAGGAGATTTACTTATATAGCTTACTAAAGACATTTTACCATAATGCCAGCAGATTGCAACTTTTTAAAACTAGAAGTTTTAAAAAGTAGCACAAATACTCCAGTGATAATTGCACTACCACTATTTTTTGCAAGAGATCACACTACAATTATTTATAGGGCTGGAGTGTTAGAAAAAAAAAATCAAGCTAGCAAGCCCTTCGGGATTGTCCTTATTATAATCCAGGACAAAAGCTACAATTTGATTAGCTATGAATGTCTTCAATACAGTAGTTCATGATTTAAATTACCGATAAAGGAGAATATTTGTAGGTCAGGATTGAAATAAAGGGTCCTTGGTGCTCTCCGAGCTTGGTTGTTTTCTTCCAGATGTTTCATTACCCAAACTAGGCAACATCATTGATGTCATGATGACGTTTCCTCATTTGGGTAATGAAACATCTGCAAGAAAACAATCAAGTTCAGAGAACACCAAGGACCTCTGATTTTAAACTAAGAACTACTTCTGATCTGAAAATATATGATAGCTTGAAGAAGAGTAAAAAAAATACTCCCTTCCCCAAGATTGATAGGCACTTTGAAATTATATTTTATTAGTACGCATGCTATCCTTCTGAGGGCTCTGGCACAATTTCCTGTTTTCTCCTGTTTTCCCTCATAATGCTTCTTCTCCCAGGAATAGATCAGTGTTTCTGACAAGGCAGTGAGAATGTAGTGATGCATCTTGCAAAGGCTGGAGGCAAATTGCTTGCAAGCTATTTACTCTGAGAGCCTGCACTTGAGAAAGTAGCACCATCCAATTTTAGCAATGGCAGGAAATACAAAATCCTCCTCCTTTGCCTTATGACCCCAAAGGAAAAAGATTTAGGACCAGATTCAGAGTCTCGATGCATCTGGTTTGATGAGGATAGAATCTAGCAGAAATAATTACATAAAGATCTGTGACCGTAGGTTGGGACTGATTAAAAGTCGTAATCCAAAACACCAGCACTGTTGTATTGAAAAGATTTGTATTAAAGTTTCAGCGGAGCCTTCAAGCTCAGAATAACTCTCTCTTTCTTAATCTAACCCTTCCCATCAAGTTGCTATGTGAATAAAGGAAGCAGGAAAATGTATTTGTCACTCTTAAAATATGGGCAAGATAGAAATATATGTACAGGTAATCCTTGCTTAACAACTACTCATTTGGTAGTTATGATAGTGCTGAACTAGTGGTAGTCAATGACTGGTCTCATAATTGTGGCAGTGCCCCTATAGCATGATGGTGAACCTTTTAGAGACCGAATGCCCAAACTGCAACCCAAAACCCACTTATTTATTGGCGGGTGCCAGGTGGGCGTGGTCCACTGGGTGGGCATGGCTGTGGTCATGGCAGACTGGGTGGGTGTGGCCAAGGTGGGTGTGGTCACCTCAATGTTGCTTGGGAGGGATGCCTATGGGGGCCGGGCAGGTTGGGGGAGATCCAGGGGGGTCTCTGGCAGGTGGGGTGGTGGGCTGGAGGCTCATCCTGCAGGGTGAGGCGAGGCAAGGTGAGGCAGGGTGAGGGTGCCATTGTCGCAGGGTAAGGTGAGGCAGGGGCCAGGGTGGCTGCTGCGTGATACTATCGGACCCTGCACACAGAGGCCAGCGAGCGCATGGGAGCCGACAGTATCCATCAGCAGCCACAGCCTGCTGTCCCTTTGACTGGTGCACTCTGGGGCTCCGCAGCTCACCACCAGCAGTTCAGAGAAGTTGCCTCTGAGCTGGACAGCCAACCGACAGCTGAGGAGGTGATTCAGTGGGTCATGCCTGGGAAAAGGAAAGCATGTGAGGCCAGGAGGGATGGGATGTGGGGGAGGGAAACCAGCCATGCTGGGATGCATCTGGCCACGTGGGACCTCAGCGAGTTAGCAGACGGCTGGTTGAAGAGGGACAGTTGCCATCTCCAGGGTATGGTGCACGTGCCCACAGAGAGAGCTCTGAGTGCCTCCTCTGGCACACGTGCCATAGGTTTGCTACCACTGCCCTATATTCACGTGATTGTAATCCAGGTGCATAGCAACCAACTCACAGGGATGATGTTGCAGCACCCCATGTTCACATGATCACCAAATGCAAACTTCTCTGCTAGTTTTTAACAAAGTCAATGGAGAAGCTGGCAGGAGGTCACAAATGGTGACCATGTGACATTACCCTTAATGTCAGCATAAGATTCACTTAATAACGGCAACCAGAAGTGCTGGAACTGTTGCTGATGCTAAGCAGCACAGTCATCTAAAAGTTGTGCTTTACAACCTTACAATTCCTGTTGTTAAGTGAGAACTACTTATAGTTACTAATTAAAATTTCAGCTTTATGCTCATTTTTTTTGCAAGTAGATCATGTTGAACTTAATGGATCAAACTTCTGAATAGACGTGAACAGCTCTCTATCAAAAATAAATCTTACATAGAGTTAAAGAAAAAAGACTTTATAATGCATCATCGTTCAAACTCACTGAAATAAGGAAGAAGACCATGCAGCTGAGAGAAAACCCACTGGTATAACCAAGATAACCTGGAACAAGAGAAAACAAAACATTGCAAGGGATTTGTAATGTAATTTGTAAGCTTTTCTGTAGTGCTAAATTTCTACCTCTCTTTTTCTCTCTGTCATTCTTTCATTATTATTGTCTATAAGGAGGTCTAGCTATTAGAAAGCCTCTATTGAAGCACGTGTTCCTGAAAGTATTTTGCTCTCAAGGAATAGCGCTTTGAGTTTTCCTTTTTGTAAAGTCCAAGATTGTCCAGTTCTAAATAATACTTTAATCCTCAGTAGTAGATAACCTAATGAGGAGCATTTCAGTGGATGTGGGTATGGGGGGTGATTCACATGCTTTTTAGAAATGCTTGGCAAAACAGAAGTCCCTGTTCACGTATACTAGCAATATGCATGCTGCTTTTCCTGCTAATTCCATCTTTCACTGCATAGTCATTAAGTGGATAGTCAAAGTGTTTGTCATCCTCATAAATGAGAGTTAAGGAACTTAAGCAAACCTTACCAAGTTGTTTCATGAGGGCCAGAGGAAGGATAATAGTGATACTGACAATGATTACCAGGTAATTTCCATTCGTATACCAGTCCCTGAAATGACACAGTCAAAATTATATCATTTGTAGCCACTTGTTTTTTGAGTACCATGCCATAAGGTATTTCTCCAAACTAAATGCAGCCAAAGCAAAAAAGCGGGCGGGTAGACAGTTAATACAATTAAATCATACTAATGCCTTAAACACAGCTAATATGTATGGATGCACAGAATGTATCCTCACTGTCACAATGAAACATTTAGCTTATATAGGATCTGGAGGGGGGGGGACTGAGGATCTTGGGGGGGGTCACATGGTCCCCTTGTGCTGTAGACTGTTTTCTGAAATCATACAATTAGGATTAATCTCTCTGTGACTAGTAGACTCTGGCTGCAATACTCTGAGACAGTAGTCTTCCTATATGGAGCTAATCAGTCAGACCACTCTATTAATTAAAACAAAATTACCGACATCAGCTTTTCAAATTTAGGCTCAGTTTTGCCAGCCCAACTTGGAAAAACAGGACTGAATCTTGAACCTTTAGCACACACTGTATGGAACTCAGCCACTGAATCACGGCACTTCCTATATTTCTGAGAGAGCTCTGTCTGTCTGTCTGTCTCTCTGTCTCTCTGTCTCTGTCTCTCTCTCTCTCTTCCCATTTGTCTCTAACCTGAGCCTTTGAAATTTTAATCCAAATCTAAGGAAATCTTATCAAGTTTCCTACCAAAGAGAGCTCTAAGGCAGGGCCTAGTCTAAAAGCACACAAGGAAAAGCTCTGTTTAGTATTTCAGTACCTCACATATTTTTCCATGAGGCTAAGGACAAGAAAAGGAAACATTATAAGCCAGGAAACCAGAATTCTGCATGACTCATGTAATATTTAAAGACAGATACATTTGGGTATGAATAGGCTTAATTTTCATAATCCAAGAAAGAACATTATTTTTGAAGGCAATTTTATATTAATTATTTTATTTTATGGGAAAAGCTTTGGGATTAAAAAGGGTGGGTGTGGAAACTCATAAAGAAATGAGAGACATTTCAAGCAAGCAGAGACAAATATTTAAGAAGCGGGAGAGGGGACTGGTTATAAGAATTTCAGAGTATAAAGAAATCCTTGCCCTGAATCAGGATCTGCCAGACTCTGAGTCCCTTGAAAGTGAGCCCAGGGTCTTTAGTCTTGAATGGCACTGTAAGATGCAAATCAGAGGGCAGAACTGCGACTCCTTCAGTCTTGGCCCATGCAAAGACCTCTTGTAACAAGAGACAGTCCAAGAGGAATCAAAGCAGGCTGTAAAAGGAGACTGCTCTTATCCCCAATTTACTCTTGCAGCCTGTTCAGGTTGAGTTCCAGAAACAGACCAAAGCTGAATCTCCACCTATTTTACCCATCCTGTTTCCTCAGAAGCAACATTCTCACTCTTCTTCCATTTTAAAAGTCCTAGTTTGACCTTTAGCCCAATTCTTAGATTGGCTATAATTAAAGGTCATCCAGCACAACCTTTCTCCAAGTACATGCTGATACCTCTGCTGAGCTTGTGGTATCCAGCTTTGCAACTTGGGACAGTCCAAATCCTGCCAAAGATATATCTATTTCCAAATGAAACCCCTTACTCAATAGTGCCCTTAAAATATCATTGTTTTCAGAGTTGTTTGGTACATGTGCTGTGCATTACAATAACTGAGTGCACACATTGCACCACATCATAAATCACGATACGATCCCACAATAGTTGGGTTCATACCGCAGACTAAGCCAAAGCAAACTGACCATATCATTGTTTAGGGCAATAGAAGAACCTAGTTGCTATTTTCAATTTTCTTCTTTGCAGTCAACATGTGTTCTGCTTCTTCAAATAAGATTTTCCAATGATAATGAAATATTCTATTCTGCTATCATGCTGGCCATGTATGTTTTCAGAGTGCCCAGTCTTGGGACTGATGCCAGATAAACAGACCGCTGATAATACAAAACACCTATAAGAATTTCTTGGATGCATTTCACACTGAAGGAAAGAAACAAACATAATGGTGGCTTTGCCCTCTTCACATCTCAGGCCTAAAGAAGAGTGATACATTTTGGGGTCTCTGATGGCAATTCATACATCCAAGGGAGAAGATCTCTCACTGCCTACTACTATACTAATTTCCTCAACTAACCTTTCCACCAGGGGAAAGATTTCCTTCAGTTTTCTAGGGTGGTAGAAGGCGTGCTGAAGCCCAGCCAGCTCAAGAGCAGAAACAGAGATCTGACTAATACATCCAGGGCAGAAAGAAGTGGAGCATCACACATGGATTGGCAGTTCACTTTGGTTTAATCCTGTGCAGAGGGTTTATTCAACGTTGGCATCCATCAAAAATAGTAGTGGCTTAATGCTGTGAAATCCCTGTAACAGATTGTCCAGAGGAGATAAATCTCTATACTACTAGAAAGACGTTAAATGGAGCTGAGCCACAGGGAAGGGGAAGGTGGGGAGAGCAGAGAGCTCATGAATAAAGACAGGAGAAGAAATGGGTGTCTGAGAGTCCAGAAGTGAGGAAACGCACGCAACGGTTTAAAGTACAGTACGATTCAGGCATTTCTATAATAGTATTTCTCCCCGCACTCCGTTTCTCTTTGGGGCCTGGTCTAATAATCCAAAAGTAGTTTTGTAATGAACCAGCTGTCCTCTTTGCTTTGTTGCTTCCCTCTGGCTGACCACCCAGCTTACAGATACCACCTTGTCTCCATTGACCATGCAAAAGACTAAGAGCTGGGGTATCAGGATTAGACAATAAACATCATTGGCACTCACCATAGTGAGAAATTGCACTTAAATTGGAGAGACATAAACAAAACAAGCACGTAGACCAGTGGTTCTCAACCTTTCTAATGCCACGACCCCATAATACAGTTCCCCATGTTGTGGTGACCCCCAACCACTTATACATCACCGGGTGCCAGGGGCGTGGCCAAAGAAAAGGGGGAAAAATGGCAGACAGCCTTGTTTGGCGACCCCCGTGAAATGGTCGTTCGACCCCAAATGGGGTCCCGACCCACAGGTTGAGAACCACTGACGTAGGCTAAAGCAGGTATATTAAAAAAATTCTCCCTGATGTTACTGGTAATGCATTTGAGGGTACAGATATATACATTTATGAATCCAGCACATTTTTTTTTCAAAGCATTATAGCCAAGCACACTATCCATTGCTGACATATTCTCCTTAGGCAGAACAATGTAAATATGGCATATAGGTATAGAAAATGTAGAAAAGAGCCACATGGGGACACTTACGTTGTTTTCTCCTCCAGGGTGAGGAAGGTCTCGATGACTAGAGGCAGTTCAGATTTCACAATGTATAAGTAACTTGACATGGCTGAAGAAAGAGACAGAAGTTACCAGAGTATGGAGGCCACTTAAGATACAGAGGGAAAGTTATTTAGGAATGCATTTTTCCCTGCATGATTCTTTCTTCTACAATGCTTTCTAGGAAGTCTAGGTAAAAGGGCTTTTACAGTATTTAGAAAGGGTGAGGTGATCCTGACAAGTTTCCTCCTACCTCCAATGTTTTGTAGTGTTATAGCAATGGCAGCTGCCAATTTCCCTGGTGTCCCAAAGGCTCTGTAACCCAGTTGTTCATAGGCTCGGATTCCTACATGATATCAAAAATTAACAAAAAGAAAATAACATATGAATGAAACCACAGCATTTCAGTGACATAATGAACAATGTTTTGGGCCAGGTCCTTTTCTCATAACAAAAGTAATTGGAATAAAAACAACAGCTGTTCTTACATACACAGCAACCCCTGCAAATTACATTTCTAAAATAAAACATACAAAGTTGACAGAGATTTATGTTAATCTCTATCTTGATCAGTTTTTATTATAGTGAAAATTTCTTTCCTCTCCACCGCTTAAGTGGAGAAACAATCAAGGCATTTAGCAAGAGTACTAGCAGTTCAGCTGAAGACTAAATGTAACCTTTGGGATGAGATTAAGTGAAACCACCAGCAAAGTCAGATTTAAGAAGTTGAACCAGCTCTACCATTAGAGCAATTATACCCCCCAAACCCCCTCTTGTTTATTTTAATTATTTTAATTAATTCATTTTTTATGCCACCTATCTCCCCTACAATGTGACTCTGGGCTGATAGTTCCCTAGCTTTAGGAATAGACTTACCAGATAACAGCGTGTAGAGATACAGCTGACTGAAGGTAGAAAAGATACTCAGATCAGAGTTTGCTGAGAGGGGATCGATGCAATTGCCCCACAGTCTACTTATTTATTTAGCAGTTATTCCATCTTTTGTCCATCATGGAATACAAGACAGAATAAATGTAGTCTCAATTGATCTTCTAGCTGAGTACATTAAGTTAGTCACAGCCAGATGCCGTATCATATAGCATAGAACTGGGTATACTGAACCCTCTGTGTATTTCTCAGCAGGTTTATCACACTTACCAACAATCCCTGAGGATTTAAGCAGCAAGTGTATAGAATAGCTGGACAAGAGAGCTACAGTAGTCAAGAGGAATCTAGGGAAAAAAGAAGATATTTATATGATTAAAGAACTGGGATAATATTGGACAAAAAACATTTAAGAGGGAATCTCAACTTCTTTTGCATCATAGTGGACAAGTCCAGCAGGAGAGAGTGTGGTCTTCTAACAGTTTTCTGAAGCCACAACTGGAGCATATCTCAATTACTTTGTCTTTTTTGTGAAATACTTCCCAAATTTTATCTAATTCCAAAAGCAATTCTCTAATTTCTGAACGGGGTATCTGGAGTTTTTAAATTAGACATTACAGAATGAAAGCACTCTATCAGTGATCACAGAAGAAGCACTTAGGTGGCTTTCTTCTAATTCAAATTCCTGTCCTGGATGATGTTGGACTACAACTCCACCATCCACAACCACCCTAATCAACTTCAATGTCATTGCAATCCCATACATTTGGACTACATGAGGTTTTTCAAGAGAAAAACCACAAAGAAACAAAATATGTTTCTATGGTCAACAAATGGTGCAGATCTTTAAAAAGAAACCCAAACATTAAGAAACAAATGCATACTTATTGCCCAGAAATATGATTTAGTATAGCTTTACCATCTGATTACTTTCTTTACTCCATCCTACTTGATAAAACTCACAGACTGAGGGTGATGTGAGGAAGGTGCAGTTTCCTAAGAGCATTAACTTGATATGAGAACTATTAGGTTTCATGAATGTGGCTATCAATATACTATTGATATGAGAACTATTAGGTACCGGCTCCCCTGAAGAGGTGCATACAAAGCTGCAGCAGCAGTATATTATGAACTGTACTAATACGAGTGTGTTATGTAACCATTTAATTTATAAAAGATGAATTAATTCTACCCAGAGGATAATATATTGCAATGGAAGCCAGGAGAATACAGAGCAAAACCCACATACGCATGAACACACCAACAGCTGGGAAAGAATTAGTTATCCTACATCTGGACAGAGGTTTTATTCATTCAAGACTGAACTATTGTTTCAATCATTGAATTCATCATTTCAAGAACTACCTCCATGAATAAATGACATGTAAATAATTTTATTTTAGTTCAGTACATGTTGCCATTATCAAAAAGAGAAAAAAATTAAAAAGAGCTCCAGAAGATAATGTCCCTATGCTATATTCAGATTCTATAGTATAATCACATGATTGGAATATAACATGATCATACTGAAAGAAGCAATGCTGTTTTGATAAGCTTTGAAATTGTTTACTGTGTATTAAATTTTCCAATATCCTGTTTCACATCCTTCCTCTCCACCCGGCACATTGCTATCACCACACATAAAGATGAAAAGGAATGAATTGTTACCCAAAGAGGCAGATGAAGAAAAAAATGCATTTATGACAATATATGTTGCTAAATATTCACTAGGTCAGATCTGAAATACCAGGATTTTCATTCAAATTTGGAAGTAATTAGAAACACAGTAAATAAAAGAAAAAGAAATGTTGCTACCATGGCTACTTAACTGTTTTGATATGCCCTTAACTTTGTATCAGTCATTCCCATCCTGGCATCAAGTAGGCTAAAAATGATGGGTTTGATTACTCAACATACCTACAATGAATTCTTCCAATTATAGCACAAATTTAACAACTGTCTTACTTTAAAGTAGGTGTCCACAGGTGGTAAGAAAGGTCAAGGTGGTAGCCACATCCATGAAACCAAAGACCCGCCCTTTCTTTATGGGCTTGGATTACACTGTTGTAGGCACCATCTGGACATTTTTGATGCCTCCTGACAGATATTCCTAATGTAAAACATAATTGCTGGAAATTACCTGACTAGGTGTGGAGTAACCCCCACCTGTCCCTCTTTCAAAGTCTGTTTTTCCAGCCCAATTTTGTAAAGAGGCAGGGCCAGCACATTAATGCCTATCCTTTCCCAGTTTCCCAAGTGCTTTTTCTGAATCTTGTCCATGATGGAATCACTGCTGGTTTTATTTTTGTCCTGTTCTCTGAATCAATCTTCGCTTTGGATTTAGTCTAATTTATTTGCATTTCTAAAAAAAACCTTGCCTAAAGGGCTCCAGAGAATTTCCTGCATGTGTCATTTTGCCTGCTGAGCCACCAGTCCAGACTGGACAGGAATGACACATAATTGCCAGCTCTTGACTAAGATTGCTCCTGGAGTTTCCTATCCTTGGGCCTTTAATGTTATCTGAGTATAATGCCTACTACCCCAGCCATCATTGCTGATGGCCGGAGTGATGAGAACTGTAGTATAAGAACATCCACAGTCCCAAGTTTGAACTACCACAAGGAAAACAGTTATAATTTCAGCCCCTACTGAAATAGCAGAGCCTTCTTTCCAGACACTGGCATGTTACAAGGGCAGAGAAAAGTGTTTCTGGATCAATTTTTCTTTCAGTGAATCTCTGAGACTATTCTGTCTTAACAGCCCATCTAAAATAGTTAAGAAGCAGATGGACCTACTAAACCTATAAGCAATGTTTGGCATGAAAAGTCACATTCCCCTATGAAATATAACTCTGCCCAAACACAGAAATATCAAATGCTTGAATTTCTCCATGAGTTGCCTATAGAAAAGGTAGAAGTGGGACAACTGCAGGCTGAACAATCTCTTGTGGGCCACCAAGTGAGAACACAGGAGGTTTCCAGACAAATACACCCCAGGGTTATTCTAAAGAAAGGATAATCAACTCTATGGGATGCTTACAGTCCAAAAGTACAAGCAGCCACTAAAAATAGGAGTAGCAGGAAGGACGGGGAATGAATACTTCTATTCTCCAGAAGAAGGTATTCTAGAAAAATTGGGGGCTTGATCATTTTTGCTTTGAAAGTGACATGAAATTTTCCTGGTGAAAGAAATGTGGCTTGGCAGATTGAGGACAGGCACGCCAGCACTATCCCTGGCTGAACTTTGTGGCTGAACGCAACCGAAGAACAAAAGCAAAGCTCTCTGCAGGGTACCGCATGATGCTGAATTGCTTCCCAGAACCTGGGAGGGCTTGTGAGCCCATGTTTTGCTCTTCCCAACAAGAAGCTCAAATAAAATGAGAAATCAGCCCCAGGGAGCCTCGGAAGCAGAAAACGGATCGCTTCACTGAAAGCAGTTCATTCCTCCCAACATGCAGTCATTCTCATCCCTGTGAAGATGCAAATGATACAGATGTCCACAAGGTGCAGACAAATGGAAGAACAGGAAATCTTAGGGAAAAAGCATGCATGAAGCATTAATGAATCCAGCGGTCTGAATTGGATCTACTAGTGGATGATTCAGAGAGTAGATTTAAAATGGGAGAGGGTGAATGAACAGCTCTGACCTAGACCTGGCTCCCATGTTGGTTGCAGACGTTTTGGCCCTGCACCTTGGTTTGTATGGTCAACAAGGATGGTTAACACCCAGGTTAAAATTACTGTAGGGAAAGGAATTGATACAAGCAAGAAGAAATCTTTTGAGGCTGGTGACTCTTAACAAATAAACAGAAGAATGAGCTAATGTTTACATAGCAAGAGATATCCAAGTTAACTAGGAGCTGGCCCTGTCCTCCATCCCATTAACTGTACAGGATGAAATAGCAACTCTACTTCAGGCAAATGCCAGAGGGAAATGACTAGTAGAGGCAAAGCAAAGTAGGTGGCTGTGTTGCTGCTGGCTACCATGCAGTTTAGGAAGGATCCTTCCCTTTCTGCAAGGATTCTATGAAGTAACACATTCTATGAAATAGAGCAGATCCATACAGTATTTCATGATGGGAGTCATCCTCAAAGATCTTTTGCAATGATCACTTTCCTCCACTGTTCTTTTCTGACTCCAGTTTACAGGCACCTGCTTGTTCCTCCCCATTTATGCCATCCCAATGTGGCTTTTTTGTCACTCGGGATCAGGCTAAGTGTTATATGGAAGGCAGAGAGCTCCTGGAGGCTTTGTTTTCCAAACAGAGGCTTGCTGGCTCCCTTCATTGCAAAGGAGCATCCTTTGTGTTCTCTAGTATAAACTCCTGCTCCAAACCATCAATAGACTACAGTTCTGTTTGTCCCCAGACTAACCTGCTCCAGCCCACCTTAACTTCCCACATTATGGGAACCTAACAAACCTCCTTTGTCTTTTTCCTTCCCAAGGCTTCTGTGCACCCAGCTCAGCTGATTTTCTGATTATGGGAGTTCCATTTGCCTATAACCTTAGCTTAGGGTCAAATTCTACCAACTTTTCTGTTCATTAATGTGTAAATAAATGATCCAACATCATGTCTGTCCTTAAGCTAAGTAGTTTCTTATAAACGCAAGAAGCATAAAATGATGTATTTATAATTTGACCAGCTTGTATATTCTCAGATCCATTGAATCATAAGTTATCTTAGTTGTGGGCTGCAATTGCAATTGTGTGTGTCCCACTCTGTCTGTGTTGGTTTAGTAGCTATGTTTCTGAGTTTATGACATGAACAGGACATTGATTGGAGTACCATTTCATTAGAATAAGGCATTGGTGTAACAGACTTTGAATAAAACAGGAAAAAAAATCCATTCTGACATTTCCCAAAGTAATGGACAAATCCACTGTATCCCAAGTAATCAAGACAAGGCTACATGTTAATCCTCCCTGGCAAGGAAAAGCTACCAGAACAATAGCACAAGGATCTGCTTTATCAGACAGTATAAAATTCCCTGGAAAACGAATACTGTATATAGAGTAAACCAACAGAGAACTGCACAAGCTACCCATAGGTATCAGAGCAGTGCAGATCCTCCAGGGATTTAGGATCAGAGTGTCCAGAATCCCCACAATCAGCATAACCTTTCATCATATTGGGAATCCCCAAATTTGTGGAGAGTATCTGGCTGAGAAAGGAGAGGGTGGCTCCCTCTCTAGCTCTTCTGATGATGAGCACAGCACTTACAGAAAGAGGAGGATGCCAGTGTTGGCCATAGCATATGCCAGCCCAAGGATCCCACTGCCCATGATGGCATTGCTGAGATTGAAAACAGACATCCCAAAAGAAGTCTTCCCTTCAAACTGAAACAGAAACAAGAGTGTGCATCTGAGAGAGAGTTGTATGCCAGCATAACACTTCTCTGCCCTGTGTCTACGCACTGTCCTCACCCCTACCCCCCCCCCCCGGTCAAAAAGGAGTAGGGCATGGTCTATGCTAGCCATCTTTCATGTTTTGTTGCCCATATGTTTCTTATCATGAGCTTCAGGAAGAGAGCACCCCTATGCAACATCTGCTCTGAAATCCTGTTCCCTCTGGACTAAAGTCCAGGTGAACTTCCCAGACTCCCTAAAATTGTACTGCAATTTCTTTTTCTACTGGCTACTGAGAAAGGTGAACTCTCTTTTTACTTATCCCCTCTCTCAGCCCTGGGCTTGAGAGCAATCTTTCTTGTATTAGTGTTATCATAGATACATGTCCTTCCATTCTGATTCCCTTGCCTCTGACCTGACATCTGGGTGGGCAGAGCAAGGAGGAAAGACCATCAAAAATCTGGTTTGGGTTCAGAGGCTATTTGTTGTAGACTAGAAGGACACAACCAAAGATTGCATCCTTTTTTCTTTTTTTTCTTTTTGGAATGGATTTGTAGGGCTGTTGTCCAGACCACCTGCAAAATATGCACTGGTCTTCCATCTTTCTGTTAATAGTTTCCCTGGAGATGTATGACTTAGTTATCAATGAATATCCAAATTGCAACCATCAGTCCAGAATAATATACCAAAACTTACATCTGTGAAATGGGTCTGTTTCTTTTCAGCACCATGTGGAAGAAACTCCTCCATCTCTGTTACATTTGCCTGGTTCTCATCAAATCTGCCACAAGATAATAGGGAGAGGGGAAAAAAAAAACACCTTTAAGCAGTCTTCTCTTAGAAATTCTCCCTTTCCCAACTCTGGTTTAAGAGATTACTACCAATGTTAATAGTGTTGCAGAATTATCTCTCCTTTCCTTAGGATCTGCTTCTTAAACACACTGAAAAGAAATAATCTTATTGAGGAGTCTTTTCACACAGAATCTAACTCCTTCCTATTCTAACTTTTGCTATGTATTCCCAAAGTTCCTTCTTATTTTCCAGAGGGCAACATCATTTGTGAAAATAGCTTCAAATATGATGAAAGAATAGAATGAATAAGCCTTAAAAATCCATTTTTCCAAATACATTTTTGCTTTTCAAAGAGCAAGGGATGCCATGCTGACTTGTACAACACTATATTTACTAAGAACATATTTGATATAATAAACTCAGCTTGCTGTGATTACAGGAATATGTCCTATTAATTTTCTTAAAAAACTAAAAAGTTTACTACTTCCTATTACCATATAAAATAGTGCCAGAAAAAGTGCTTGTTCTTAGTAAATGCTCCAAAAACTAGCAGTTAACTCTAAACATAGACTTTAGCGTATGTTTCTTGAAAGTTCTAGAGAGAGGCAATAAAAGTATGATCTGGGGGAAAATATGATCATGTGCTGGAAAACTGTAGCATTCCTGTCAGCTGTGTATCTGATTGCAAATTTGAAAGCACCATAAAATCAATAAGAAACAAATTTGCATTTATTAGCTGCCTAAATAGAAAGTCCCAAAGCTTCCATTATGTCCATCTATTGGTAAATCAGGATTTATTGCTGCTATGAATGTTCTTCTTTTCCCAGTTAGCAGAACTCAGACATTCCCCATAAGGTTCCCCTCATGCAGAGTACATATGAGGAGACGCATAGCCAATGAGGAGTCAAGTCCTTTTGTCACAGAGACACAGAGAGGAACAGAGGGGAGACTAGTAAAACAAAACAGAACTGTTTCTCGAAATGGCTGTCTCTCATAATATAGGCAAAAGGGTTAGCTACGAATATTGAGTTAAGTTGAATCTTTATTTATCATGCTGTACAAAAGTCTCACACTAATATATACACTACATAACTGTGTGTAGTTGAGTGTTTTAAACATATTCTCAGACTGAGCAAGAGGAATAACTTATCTTGTCTGATGGATAATAATCAGTGTAAAGTTTTATTTATTTATTTACTTATTTATTAGATTTGTTTGCTGCCCATTTCACTTCATTTTTCCAATATCTTTCTATAAATTCAGGCAGAAATACTCATTTGTAGCAGAAAATGACGTTTTGTGGTCCACTGCAATCTGTTGTAAATTTTCTGTTTTAATCAGCTAGTCTTCCCCATATTTTCAACAGCTATGTAGTTGATCTCTTTCACTGCTAAATGCTGGTATTCTGGATGTTTAAAGTTAAAAAAGGGGATATGTATAGTTTCGCATTTCTTTTAATAAGAGATTTACTTATCTCTGATAAGTTAGTTTGTCTCTTCAAATGGAGAAGAAAGGGTGAAACCTCAAAATTATAGGCCCCTGAACTACATAGCCAGAAAGTTGCAATATAGAAATGATTTCAGCATTTGCATTTTTGATCTTGTAATCACCAAAAAGGCAGCACAGGTTATAAAAGCCTTATCTCTTTGACACCCATAAGGGATAGGAGAAAGATATCAGATGAGGCAACCTCTGGAAAACAGGTCATAGCAGCAGAAATGACAGGTACTCTGCAACTCACAGCAGTTTGTTTAGTGACCGTTCAAAGTTATGATAGCATTGAAAAAAAAATGACACGAACGTTTTTCATACTTATGACCATTGCAGCAACCTCATGGTCACATGATCAAAATCCAGATGCTTGACAACTGGTTCATATTTATGATGGCTGATCCCCTTCTGCAACGTTCTGACAAGCAAAGTCAATAGGGATGCCAGATTCACTTAACAACCATGTTACTAACAAAACAATTGCAGTGATTCACTTAACAACTGTGGCAAGAAAGATCATAAAACGGGGCAAAACTCACTTTAAAAAGTGTCACTTAGCAACATAAATTTTGTGGTCATAATTCGAGGACCACTGTACTAACCTAGTAGGACAAAGTAGGTCATGGGGCTGAGATTTTAAGATCAATTAGTTTCATTCTTCTATTCTATTTGATCTTGTGTTAAATAATAAGTACAGTTCTGTACTTACTTGAGAGGTTTTTTTACTTGTATGTTTGGGGTTAAGAGCCAGTTTTGCGCAGCGGTTAAGGCATCAGGCTAGAAACCATAAGTTCTAGGTCCACCTTAGGCACAAAGCCAACTGGATTTTATCTCAGCTGTAGGAAGGAGGCAATGGCAAAACCACTTCTGAAAAACCTTACCAAGAAAATTACAGGGACTTGTTCAGGCAGTCTCCAAGAATCAGACTCAACAATAAATGTTTGGGGTATCGGCAGGTCACTAATTAGGTGGCAGGATTGATCAGGAGGAAACAGCAGCGTTCTCTAATCATGGGAAGAGGGCAGATTAAAACAACGGAAGTGGAAACAGCAGCACAGAGTGAGTGGGTGGTAATGGGCAAACATTTGTGGATCAGAGAATGACGTGACAGTAATCCCGTTCACTACAAAAGATAATCTTACATCCAGGACAAGTGCATTAGCTCAATCCTGCAATCTGAGTCAGTCAGATAAGCCAGGCCTTGCAAATCACCTCACCTGTCATTTCCCATGGAAGAGGTATTTAATACTGAATGTTTTCCATTTGGTACAATGTCTATCATCTCTGTCTGGATGGGGATTTCCGTAGAGTTCATTTCTTCTTTTTGAAGTCAGTACCTTCCCTTCTTTGGCAAACAGTTTTCAAACAGGCAGCAGATGCTGGACTACTGAGAGGTCCTGTATCAGCAGAGGGGGGGGGGGAGGGAGAGAGAGAAAGATAGAGAGATCAATATCTGGTATTTGTTGTCACAAAATAAAGCTTGGCATAGGGAGCAGAATATGTCCAGCTTGGGGAAGATATAAAGATAGTGCCATACAACAGCCCTCATCATTTTAGCATGTCCTAACTATTTTGGGATATCATCTTAGAGTTCCCTGCCAGTGTTGGAAATGTCTACCTGAAAGGTGTTCAATAGAGTAAGACTGGTTTATACATTTTGATATGATGAACTTGCATATAATATTTCATCTCTCTTAGCCAAAGGAATACGAGCTACAATTATTCTATAACGAGAACTATGTCATATATAGCCCTCTGCTGATAACATATTCTCCAATGTTTCTGCTAAATTGAGAGTACCATGAAGTGAGACAAGATGAGTTTCTCTCTGATATGTCCTAAACTATTCAGCAATATTCAACTATTCACAGATGACTTTGCTGCATGTCACAACTCTAGTACATTGTATAAAGAAAAGTTAAGAAAAAGAGAGAACATAAAAAGAAAAAGGGTAGAAAGCAATACAGATAGAAAAAGAAAATTAAAAAGGGACTTTGAATCTTCTTTGTAGCAGTTAGAAACATAGTCAATATCCTTCCTCCCTCTGTAAAATTACTTTACATAGTTCCCTTCTGTCCCATATTCAACCCTTTTTATTAACAAATCCAGAAATCACTGTTTCCATTTCCAGCAAAAAGCCCATAAAAGGTTTCCATCCTTTTAAGAAAATATATTGTTTTATTCCTAATCAAACAGGTCAGTTTTTACCTCTGATCAAATAGTTCTATTTCCATTTCTGCCACACACTTACATACGCACAATCTCACATACTTTTTCTGTCTTCATTTTATTAAGAATATTATTAGAAAAAGTCAGAAATAAAGATACCACAAAGAAGAGGGGGTTATCCTATTTTCCAGAGCACCAGAGGGCAGGACAAGAAACAATGGATGGAAACTAATCAAGGAGAGAAGCAACCTGAAATTAAGGAGAAACTTCCTAAGAGTGAGGACAATTAACCAGTGGAACAGCTTGCCTTCAGAAGTTGTAGGTGCTTCATCACCGGAGGTTTTTAAGAAGAGACTGGGCAGTCACTTGTCTGAAATGGTATAGGGCAGTGGTTCTCAACCTGTGGGTCGGACCCCATTTGGGGTCGAATGACCATTTCACGGGGGTCGCCAAACAACGCAGTCCGCCATTTTCCCCCCCTTTTTCTTAGCTGTGCTACTCCCTTTTATTCTATTGGCTTTTGAAAGCCAATAGAATAGACTCTATTCAAGCCAATAGGAATTGTCCAGGCTGTCTCTGCCCTGCTGAGCCCCGCCAAAAGTCCCATTCTACAAACGGTGCTGCACCAGTTGAGTAGTCCTCAACTTACGACCGGTTGAGTAGTCCTCGACTTACGACCGGTTGGGGGTCACGGCATTAAAAAGGTTGAGAACCACTGGTATAGGGTCTCCTGCTTGAGCAGGTGGCTGGACTAGAAGACCTCCAACATCCCTTCCAGCTCTGATTCTGATTGATTGATTGATTGATAGCATGAATAGATAATGTGATCAGTGCTCTTCAACTACACTGTAGATAAAAGGAAGTCCAAATGTTTTTTTTAGTGGAACAGAAGATAAACCTTATTTGTTTATTCAGTACTGTCAATGATTCATTTACAATCATCGATATCATCCTTTGATATTTATCAAAAAACTGCTAACAATAAGCAAAATACTACTCCATGTTTTTCATGAAGCCAAGTTCATGATTTAGTTCATTATTTTAGAAATTCAGCAAAGTTATCATTTCCAGGCATATCCTTTTCTATGGCATTTCAGGTCACAGGACCCACTAGTAAAAAAAAGACTGTGACAAAGGGAATGGGAACAGAGATAGACAGAAAGTAATTGTGGAATACCAATATCACATTTAGAAAATTTCTTCAGAAGATTTGAGCTGCAATTCAATTCTTCTGCGGATGAGTAAATTCCAACAAATGTTATTGGGGGTATTTCTAAGTAGACGTTCATAGGACTGGAATCCACTGGAAAGATTACAACTGGGGAAACTTGCCCAATAACAAATAAATAAAAAGTTCACTGTGAATTCACATGCATATACATGTAAGAAATCAAAACAATATCTTATCTTAGATTTTACAGGTGGAAATCTAAGGCAAGCCTTTTCTGATTACTACAGAATTCCCTTTTTTTTTTTAAGGGTTATAAATTCAAGCAGTGCTTCACATTTTCTGTTCCTACCATGGCAATAAAACAAATGGCAATAAAACAAAGCGTGGAGCTGCTTGGATTACTGATTTCCTGCTCCAGAGAGTTAAGCACCCTCCTTCCCAACATGGGCAATCAGCACTGATGAATAGGGACAGTTTGCACATTTTCTGGGCTTTGCTTAGCTATACTCAAATTTTCAGAATGTGCCATTCCCCCACCTGACCCCTGAACTACACACACATACAAAGTCATGCACACAGACACACTCACAGAGAGAGACATACACAAACATGTAAATATATTGCTTCGTGTATCTTCAGTGGACAATAGGGTCCTGAATAAAGACAGAAAAGTCCAGCTTGAAATCATGGGTTAGAAGATGATATTAGCATCAGCCTTGGGAATGTCAAGTAATTATGTCTAGATTGGACCCTGGGTTAATCTAAAGTCACAGCAGGCCAAATTTAGACAAACTTTGAGCCTACATCTACTACTATTTGAAAGATGATCACTTCCCAGTCTCTTGCAAGCTATGATAATGTTTAGTTACTCTCATAGTAAAAGAATGTGTCTTATTTCTTAGGTACATCTGGGTAGGTTTAATTTCCAGCCCTTTGGTATTGCTATTGTCATTTCCCATAAAGAACTATTAGCACTTTTGTTTTGATCACCATAACCAAGTTAACTATTTTTTTAGATGCTAAACAGGCTGAGTGTTTTAAATCTCTGGCTGTAAGCAGAGCTGCCTCTGTCCCTTTCAAGTGCACAGTTGCATTCAGATCAGAACTGCGAAAAGCACTCGCCATGTGCTGTACAGGCAGCATCCCTGCTCTTGTGCATGAGCAGAAGAAAGTGAGAAGAGCAACAGAAAAGGTAGCTGCAGCAGGAAAAGAAGGCCGTTAGGGAAATGGGCTAAATTTAATGCAGTGGGGCACAGAAGACCCACAATTAAATCTGAAAAAAAGAAAGAAAAGCAATTACAAAAAGAATCCTGTCTTCTCTTTCCTAATTAGACTTTTGGGCACAAATGGTAAGATTCCAATTATGGATGGAAAATAGCATCATCTAATTTTTTGCAGGAAAACTGTAAGCAGGAATATATGAGGTCATTAGTTGTGCTAGTTCAGACAAGATTCTGCATTTTATTTTGCTTACTGGAATAACCCAGCATTCATTTTTTTTAAACATTTACCAATTCTTCATAAATTCCAAAACTTAACCTCCAGAAAAATTCTGACCTGCTGCTCAGAGCAGAGGGTTGATAATACCTACTGTGCAGCATTGACAAGAAAAATATTGAGGGGGAAACAATTAGCTAAGGAACTTGGCAGGTGGAATGTGGTTTTTCTCATTTATTCAGTTGCTGAACTTTTCTAGGCCAGTAATTTTTTTAAAGGCCACAAGGCTTTATGTAGAAAGGGAAATTAATCATCTCAATTCATCAGTAAGCAAGATGAACATCCTTAACAACCACAAATACTGCCCCAAGAGTTCTCATATTCTCACAGGAACAAAAGTTTAGCCCACCTGGGGCTGGCCCTCAGCTTATGAAAGGACTGACGTCTCTGAGAAGAGCGACAGAGGGACTGGAGGCAAATCTCTGGCAGGCTACTTTGCTAGGTTTTGAAAACCCTCAGACATGCTGGCAGGCAACACAAAGCACCTTCTGTTGGGCTTCCTAGCTCTCCTTAGCTGATAGTTGGAAAGTAGTTTCCAAAACAGAGCAACTTTAGAGGCAGTTGGCGCCCAAGAAAGAGGGGGACTACATCCCAGCTTCTCTTTATCACCATTTTCTTTTGATCATCTTTCTTCTGCTAGCTCAAGAAAGTTTGTTGGGCTATTATTGCTCTTACAATAATATTTACATTAGTATTCCATAAACTGCAATTGATATGATGTGATCTAATAATTCTATTTCCAGTCTACTTCTCCATATCGAATATGCCTCTTGGGGCTCACCTGGAAAAACTCCTTCCTCCACACAATTGTTTTACCATTTTTGCACTTCTTTTTTTTATTTAAAGAACTTACTGTATATTGCTGCTTAAAACACACACTGATCCTGTGGGGCTCATAGCAAACCTAACCAAGCAAAATCTCAGGTAGAAAGCTATACCAAAGGGCCAGGGTAGAGAAGGCATGCCTACCAGACCCAGTAGATAACAAATTTGAGGAAAGGGAGTCTAACCTAGTGTGATGGACAGATATCCTCAAGCAGAGGCCATCTGACAAATAATCGGTTACTGTGCTACATAGAGCTTTGAGAGGGGTGAAAATCAGCACTTTGAACTGTGCCCTTAAAGCAAATGGAAGCCAGTGCAGCTTGTGTAGCAGCAGTGTAACATATGCAAATCACAGCATGCTCTAAACCAGTTGTAGCTTCTGGGTGGTCTTCAAGAATAGCCCGGTGTAGAGGGCCTTCATCCAATTGGGAAGGGATTACGACAGGAATGACTATGAAGATGGCCTCTGGTTATTCTATAAAATATGAGAACTAAATTATTTCCCATTACCAGTCTTGTGGTCTTTCATGAATATATGCCCACCCGCACACCTTTTTTTGCCACTCTATCAGTTATGATTAGAGTTGAGCAGCATAAATGGACCCAGCACAAAAGGCACAGAGATATATCACAGCCACACAAATATGAGGTGATTCTTAATAAAAGATTTTTGTTCCATTTCAGGTTTTTAACTCTACTATGATTTTCTCTTCAAGCTTAATTTTTTTATTATAT